CGGTGTTACCCTGTCTAATAAAGTTGTTATTATTATTATTATTATTATTATTATTATTATAAGTTATTTGATGTTTTTGCTTTTTTCTCTATCTCTATTATCTCTATTCCTGATTCACTGCACAGTAAGTCTTACACCACTGTACACGCTGGGCGCACAGGTGATATAATCTTTTTGGTCTTAAGCCAAAAATAATGATACTAGGCCAAAAAGAAAAACAAAACATTCTCAGAAATCATCTTTTCTCAGATTCGCTTGTGTCTTTTGTGCCCTGTGTGTGTAGTAGATCAGTTAGGTGGTTCAAGAATGTAGAGTAGGGTTCAGGGTAGAGTGGGGTGTGGCAAGCACCCTCCCCCCCCCCCCCCCCCCCCCCCCCCCCCCAGACCTCATATCCCAAAGTGATTTATTGTCTTTCTTTATTGACAGGTTTCTCCTGAGCACACACCAGATGTATTCTTGAGACTTCCTTCCATTTATCAGTGGAAATCCTCTGAGAGTGTTTCAGACAGGTAACAGTCCTTCAAATGTATCATTTTTCCTGCCATGACTCAATCTTGTCCCCAGAGTCTTCCAGCTTTTTGTTCAGCAAGCTCAGAATCAGAAGCCAGGAGTTGCTCGAGAGTATAGGGATGTAATTGGTCACTTCATTTTGTATCTATCTATTTACCAATTAAATATTGATCTGTTTGTTATTATGATGATAGTGTTTCAGAACAGTCAAATGATGATGGAGAAGGAGGCATAACTTTTGTATGTAGAAAACTAATATGATTTTAATATATTATGCTTTTGATTGCAATAAAAAATATTATTTTGGGATGCATTATTGCGGGAGAGAAATTGGAAACTTTAATTTCCTTACAGTGTCATGAAATGACGATGAAAAATGATCAGTCTACTTTAGCAACATTGCCTGCAGTATTGCACTGTGTGTCTGTTCACCTTAACCAGGTATAATTCCTGGCACATTGCATCAACAGAAGTTTGATGATTTATCACATGAAGACATCAAGTTGGAACAGCTTCTAGAAGAAGTACCGAACATAGAAGACTCAGATACCTACCACAAGTAAACTACTCTTACCAAGACTTTATTTTAATTATATAAATCCACATTATTATATGACACACTCAATTTCCCGCATATTACAACTGTTTTCGAGTGCAATTACAGAGCGATAATACACGGTCTGTGAACYGGTTTTAAAGGTTTTCTTTTGCTGATGTCAATGCGAGGAAATTTTCTCCAATTCCTTTGTATTGCTCATGTCAGTAGTTTGAGTTTGTGACTTTCAAATTTGCTTGTTTACCGTACAAATGGTTGTTTTTCATGCACTCTTTCTCAGTTTTTTCATGTCGTAAAATAAATAATTTATTACACTGCTATAGTCAAATACGATTATAGGACTTTCTAAGTAAGAGCCACCCCCCTGAATTTTTTTATTATTATTATTACATAATTATTTTTATGTAGTTCCAGAAATTATCCACACCCCTTCCACAGAGGAATTTTTTTAAATTCCCCTACCCCTTGAAAGCCCAATTTTCTTCCATACAAACTCTTAATTTTGTTCTTTCTCTGACCCCCCTATCCCTCGAAATTTCCAAATTCCTCTGTGGGGTGGGGGGGGGGGTATGGATAATTTCTGGAACTAGACATAGCTCCTTCATGCTGCTCACATGACTCTTGTTTACGGTTTATCTTTACTAGTTTCTAACAGTTTGTTTGTCTTTTTGATTGTAAGGTTACTTGGAGGACAGGTGTTTATAGGCATGTTGACGCTGCAGTATCAGGCAATTAAGGTCAGTCTTGAAAAAAGTATGGAAAAAATGGGCAACCACACCCACCATTATCAAAGTAAAATAAATGACCTTTGTCTTTTACAACAGGATATTATACCACTGGTAGAAGATCTCAATAAGGCAGGAATACGATTTGTTCATTTTTCTCCAGAAAATGAGCTAAAAAGCAGGGTATGTATCAAAATATAACACCTGGTCTGAAATGGGATACAATTACAGTTCTGGCAGAAGTTAAAATAGTCTCCCCTGCAGAGCTGCAGAGATGCTTGGGGAGTATAAGTTGCATGATCAAGCATGGCTGCGGGGGAGTCTATAATTTAAAAAAAATATCCATTATAATTTTAAGGTATTTGCAGAGCGCATGGGACTTGAGACAGGATGGAACTGTCACATTTCATTATCTGAGAATGGAACGCAGTGCTCAAGAAGCAAGACAGAAAGCAGTAGCAATGAACAGCAAGGTGGAGCAGGTGCCCAAGTTATTGATGTGCATGAGCATGATGGTGATGAGAAGCATGTTAGCTGGATTGATATCGATATCAAGACAGGATCCAATGAAAAAGGCTTGTGCATGAATAATTCACTACAATTATTGTAGTGTTTGTTCATTTTTTGTTCATTTATTTATCCATCCATCCACCCATTCATCCATCCTTCCTACCATCCATGCATTCATTTATTTGTAGACCTTAATGAAAGCAGCTTTTATATGGATCATATTGTTTTGCTCATTCGTTTATTAATTTTTTCACATATCCATCTATCCATCCAAATTTCCATCCATTCAAACAACCACCCATTGGTGTCAATCCATGCATTCATTTATTTGTAGACTTCAATGAAAGCAGCTTTTACATGGATTGTAAGGCTTATTCACTTATCACTTATTCACTTATCTATGCAATTGTCAATTTGTCCTTTCATTATTTATCTATTTTGTTATTACATTTTTTGTTGCACATCAAGACTGGATCCATTGAAATACTAAGGCTTGTGTGTTGATTTTATTATATTTCTAATATCTCATTAGTTCACTAATCCATTCATTCATCATTCATTCATCTATTCATTATTATTTAATATTTTGTTACTGGTATTTGTTTGTTGACATGGAATCCAATAAAATAGGGCTTTGCATGATGAAATTATATTACTCACTTGCTCATTTATTTATTCATTTGTTGCATTGCTTGCTATTGTTACATTATAAATTTTTATGTTATTGAACTTATAGTTGGTAGATCAGAGACAGGTGCCAGTGCAGGTGAGAGTGAGAAGAGTGAAAGGACAACACTTCTTGGTGATGAACAGAACACAGCTAACGATGACTACTGGTTCTTTTACAACAGAGTAAGAGCTATAGTTTCTTTAAGGCTTTTGTGTTCAGAGCTTTCTGACCATCTATATGTCTTCAACACATCTGTGTCTGTCTGTCTGTCCATCTATATGTCATCATCACATCAGTGTCTGTATGTCTTTCTGTCTGTCTGTCCATCTATATGTCTTCATCACATCTGTGTCTGTATGTCTGTCTGTCTGTCTGTCCATCTATCTCTTCATCACATCTGTATATCTGTCTGTCTGCCTGTCTATCTGTCTGTCATCTGTCCATCTGTCCATCTATATGTCTTCATCACATCTGTATATCTGTCTGTCTGCCTGTCTATCTATCTATCTGTTGTCTGTCTGTCTGTCCATCTATATGTCTTCACCACATCTGTGTCTATATATCTTTCTGTCTGGCTGTGGCCGTGTTGTATCAGATGTACAACCGCGAGGCGTAGCCGAGTGATTGTATATCTGATACAACACGGACACGAATAATGCATATGACTTATCAAACGTCTAGGTTAGTTCCTTTGTGTTTCACTAAAATTTTCAAAATTAAAGTGAATTTGGCCAAGAAAATCCAACATAAAGTTTATGCAATTGAACACAGTTTTGTATCAGATTTACAACACTCTTCACGGTCGTGATTTCTGTTGTATTTTTCTCATGAATTATTCATGAGTTTGATGATTTTTTTTTTTTTTTTCCTGCACATTGATAGGCCAAGTTACCACGTGGTATTGACAACATACGACCTCACTTGGACAACATTGACAATGTTCCTCTACTTGTGCCCTTGTTTACTGATTGCACACCACAAGGTAACTTTTTGAAAAACTGCCCTAAATTTGAGATTTGATATTAAAACCTTGAAATAACCTTAGCTCACAGATCAACCCTTAAACAGCTTCTGGGCTGTTCTAAGTCATGGTATATTGGCTAACTCACAGATCGAACCCTAAAACAATTTCTGGGCTGATCTAAGTAAGTGCACTTCTAATAGTCAGCCATAATAATTAAAGATTTGATTTGTTTCTTGACAATCTAGCTGTGAAGGATATGATAGCCATAATGCAAGAATATGGGGAAGTTGTGTGCTGTGTTGGGAGCTCATTTAATGTGAATAACACAAGTATCTTCACACAGGCTGATGTCAGGTATGGTTTCACAAAATCACACATCATGGTATCCTACATTCTTTTTTTCATCCCATTTCTCAATCCATTCAACCATGAATGCTCTTCACTCATTTTTTCATACACTCATTTCTTTCCAATAATTTATTCATTAATTAATATTCAGTCAGTCATTTGGTTTCATCCATCCTTCCCTCCCTCCCTTCCTCCCTCCCTCCCTCCCTCCCTCCATCCATCCCTCCATCCATCCATCCATCCCTCCATTCCTCCATCCATCCATCCCTACATTCCTCCATCCATCCATCCATCCATCCATCCATCCATCCATCCATCCATCCATCCATCCATCCATCCATCCATCCAATCATTTAATTTGAATCCCTTTTTATAATAATATCCTGTGTCCTTCGTTTTAGTGTATGTATAGAGCCCCTCTTTCCTCAGCTCTGTCTCAAAGGACTCCCTAAAGACTTCCGCTCTGGTACACCTCAGCTGCAGGGCTATGAAAAGACGCGCCAGAAGCTGAAGAATCAAGAAAGTATGGAATATAATGAAACAGATACCACATCAGAAATGGAGAATGGTAAATGTTTTAGGATATTGTGGATGATTGAAAAAGTATCTTAGATAATGATGATGATTATTATAATGCATTAAGGTGATGATGATTGTGATGATGATGATGACTAATGGGGATGATGCTGATAAAAATAATGCAAATAATATTAATGATGATAAGTGATAATGATTAGTTTCTAATTATTGTTTAATTGTGTCCACAGTAATGTCACCCTTGGAGCTCAGCGCCTTGATGAATTCTTTACCTTGTGCATTGTCATTCCCTCGGAATATTGATTTTAAGTTTAAAAGTCTTCTTAAGGAGGTAGAGTACTACTTTATTTTATAATTTTTGTGGAATCATCCAGTTACATCTCATTCTATTCGTCTAGTGATTCATC